GGAAGAAAAGTTCTGGTGACAGGAAAACACGAGAAGAAATGTGATGAAGGCAGCGGCTCTTACAGCTACAAATATGAAGAGTTCAGGAGAGAATTCCAGCTGCCAGAGGATGTCGATGCTGAAGCTCTTCGATGCTGTTTGTCACAGGATGGTCGGTTAAAGGTTCAAGCCCCAAGCCTGGCATTGCCAGCTGTGAATGAACGGACCATCCCCATCAACATCACCTCAGACACAACAACCACTCCCCGGCTCATTCCTGACCAAGAGGCAAAGAAACAGGAGAGTGGGAAGGGATAACACGGTGTGGAGCTGGAGGAACACAGCAGGTCAGGCAGCATCAGTGGAGCAGGAAAGTTGATGTTTTGGGTCAGGACCTACTTCAGAAAGTTCTTACTGTCTGAGGAGAGTGGGAAGGATGTGGGGAACAGGAAAGAGAAAGGGAAAATAGACATTTAATACCAACTTATTGTGAATTTAAAAAATTTATGGATATTATAATGCTGAATCTTGTTTTCCTAATCTTAGGGAATTGATCACTGTCATGTTATTTGCATGTGTGATAAAAATAAATAAAATTAAAACAAATGCATGATAAAAATAAACATTTTGAGGCAGTAATATCCTGGATTCAGTTTGTCCATGAAATAAAACAAAAATATTATGAAATGCAAAATTTCAGCGCTTGCTTCCTTTTACTCTTAGTAATAGGGCTCAATGTGACTTAACTCAACCACTCAGAATCGAGTCATAGAATCATACAGCATGGAAACATAACCTTTGGCCCAACCAATCCACTACAACCTATAATCTCAAACTAAACTAGTCTCACCTGCCTGCACTTCACCCATTTGCCTCCAAACATTCCACACACAAACCACTATGTGTGTAAAAGAAGGTGCCCCTCATATCCTTTTTAAATCTTTCTCCTCTCACCTTAAAAGTATGTCCCCTCGTCTTCAAACTAAATTATATGCATGAAAATATGTTTCCAGTTTAAGCTGCTGTGCTCTTCAAAACAGTTAAAATCTATAGGCAATTTATAGAAAAGGGCAATGGTCTAGTGGTCTTATTGGTGGACTGTTAATCCAGAGACCCAGGTAATGTTCTGGGAACCCAGGTTTGAATCCTGACATGGCAAGTGGTAGAATTTGAATTCAAGAAAAAAGTTCTTGAATTAAAAATCTAATGATGACCATGAAACCATTGTCAAGTGTTGGGGGAAATCCCTCCGGTTCACCAATGTCCTTTAGGGAAAGAAGCTGCCATCCTTACCTGCTCTGGCCTACGTGTGACTCCAGACCCACAGCAATGTGGTTAACTCTTAACTGCCCTCTGGACAATTAGGGATGGGCAATAAATGGTGGCCTGGCCAGCGACGCCCTCATTCTGTGAACAAATTTTAAAAATATAGAAATTGACCAATAAACTACTGACATAATGCCATAGAGTCATTCAGCACAGAAACAGACCCTTCAGTCCAACTAGTCTACACTGACCATATTCCCAAGCTAAACTAGTCCCACTTGCCTGCGTTTGGCCCATATCCCTCCAAACCTTTTCCTCTTCATGTACTCATCCAAATGTCATTTAAATGTTGTAATTACACTTGTCTCTGCTGCTTCCTCTGGCGATGTAGTATCAGGCAGGAGAACACGATGCCCACTGGAGCACCCAAGATTAATATTTTGAAAAAACCAATCCCATTCATACCAGATCTCTGTTCTTATGCCAAAGTGAAACAAAGAAATTCTTTGCAGGTACATATCCAATAGCCTTTCAAAAGATGCCTTTGAATCAGCTCCATAATTTTACATTTTCTATTGAAGTAAACAAAAAAAGCCCAAAAACAATTCTTGCTTTTTTTCACATTCTGTCACTGGATGTGGGCGTCACAGGCTGGGCCAGCATTTATTGCCCATCCCTATTTGCTCTTGAGAAGCTGGTGGTGAGCTGCTTTCTTGAACCGCTGCAGTCCATGTGCTGTAGGTAGACCCACAATACCTTCGAGGGAATTCCAAGATTTTGACCCAGGATGGTGAATGGCTCGGAGGGGAACTTGCGGGTGAGGGTGTTCCCAAGTATCTTCTGCCCATGTCCTTCGAGATTGACGTGGTTGTGAGTTCGAAAGGTGCTATTTAAGGAGTGTTGGTGAATTTCTTCAGTGCAACATGTAGATGGTATATAAAAAAGAACTACAGATGCTGGAAATCAGAAACAATATCAGAAACTATTTGAAAAACTCAGCAGGTTAGGCAGTGTCTGTGGAGAGAAAGCAGAGTTAATGTTTCAGGTCCAGTGACATTTCTTCAGAACTGATTGTAGCCAAGAAAGGAAAATATATATGCTAGAGAAGGGGTGGTGGGAGGGAGGAGGAGTAAATGAACCCCAGAGAGAGAAAAAAACTGTTGGGCAATGGGTAAAGATCAGCCTGGGAGAATCAATAACTGCTAACGGGGACCATTAATGGCTGACAATGGTTTAGGTCAAAAATCGCACAACACCAGGTTATAGTCCAACAGGTTTATTTGAAAACGCTAGCTTATGGGGCGTTGCTCCTTCCTCAGTTGTAGTGAGAGAGGAGGTATCAGGACACAGAATTTACAAGTAAAAGACCAAAGGATCATACAACTGATGCGAATGTATTGAATAAACCTAAAATGGCTGGCTGACTCCCTCCTGTTAAATCTTTAACTGGTTAGAAAGGAGATGCAGGTTTCAATTGATCAAAATGCAAATCCCCGCATTTCTTTCAGGTCACTGCCCTGAGATAGCTAAACGTTATATCAGTGTATACAAAGATGACATCTCAGGTCAGACAATGCATTTTAGGTGTGAGGCCTTGTTTAGAATCTGTCTATGTTTTAACCTGGAGTCAGACTAGTTTTATTATCAAAACAGGAATTTATAAAATGCCCCATTGACTGACTGTGTCTACAAATTGTAGACGCTGCTGAGCTTTTCCAGCAACTTCTGTTTTTGGACAAAGTATGTTGTGCCTGAATCAAACAGAAATGTTTGACTTCTTTTTTAAAATATTAAAAGATTACATTCCATGGACTACAAATCTTTACAGATCCCTGGAATTAGATATGGTAGCAATAGTTAAATTGCAAATTGGATGAAACGAAGTAATTAAGGGTAGAGACTGGCGGCGAAGACAAAAAAATATTAGAGTGATAGGTTGAAGTTGCAATTCAGGTTAAAATGTTGCAGTAGTGAAAAGGGGGTTTAGATGAGAGCACCAAACTGATAGCTTTCTCTTGGCAATGTTTGTGTCCTTATCTTTTTACTTTAAAAAGAGATTGAATTTGGTGATCAAGCCACTACTTAAGGCACAGAACCATGCATAGAGAGATAAGTAAAACTTCAAAGATCATTTGCGAAGATCATGTTGGAATCAAGAATGTGTGACATGGTCTTGGGACACTGATGTAAGTGTACAACAGTGAGTATTACCTCGGAGGTAACAAACATGAGACGGTACAAAAACATGCACTGAAGAATGGATCTCAGACATGTACACCTACTTGGCAAAAGGATTAGTGTGGCTTGGAAGAGCACAAAAACATAGTTCAAATGATAAGATACTGACACAAAATCCATTCGGAAACTGACTTTAAAACAATGACCGTAATGTAAGTCAAAGGGATGTTAAAAGAATTACAATCGAAATAAAAAGTGTGAAAGGCTATTATGTCAAAATGTTACAGAAATGAATGAATATCGACTCTGGGAGCGGTAAGGATAAACTGAGTGAAAGGGCCCATCAGATGACGGATAGAAACCCCATCTTGAGCATTTGTATAATACATGTACGCCAGTCTCTACCCTTAATTACTTCGTTTCATCCAATTTTGCAGTTTAACTATTGCTACCATATCTAATTCCAGGGATCTGTAAAGATTTGTAGTCCATGGAATGTAATCTTTTAATATTTTAAAACAGAAGTCAAACATTTCTGTTTGATTCAGACACAACATACTTTGTCCAGTGTTTAAACCAGTAGGTGACATTGTAATGTGTTAGGACAGTTAGTGTATGTGAAAAAAGGCTGAGCTTAGACTCAGGTGCTGTAGGAGTCTGTGGTAAGGGAACTCCAAAAGAAATAAAAAGTGAGAAGCATAAGTTGAAGGTAAAGTCTGATGAGCGTTAGAGCTGTACTGTTTGATCCCATGTATATTGTAGCTCAAAGGGGGACAGTTACCACTCAATGATACAATCATTCATAAAATTGGCAAGGATGGAAATATATTGAAGAAGCATCTCAAGGCAGATACAGGTGAAGAGAGCTGTAGAAATGTTAAACCTATGCATGATATTATTTTACTGTTACTGGGTGAGGTGATCTGTGGATAGGGAACTGGAGGATTGAAAAAAATGAAATATGCTGGAATATGCAGAATTTTAGAGCTAATTACGTAAATAGATTAACTGAAAAAAAATGTAGATGGTGGCCTCAGTCAGGTGACACAACTTGCTGGTTCCATCACAGCCTTGACTGTACACCATAGGTGGGATATATATTTCAGGGTTGGTCCCCAAAGTCCACTGCAATCATTAATTTGATGATACACCCTGTCGTGATATTGTTTGTATTGATGGTAGTTATTTTCATTGTAGTTTTAATCTTCTAATGTAAGTTAAATACTCTTATTATACGTTCTCGTGCGGCTGTTGCTGATTTGCATCTGCATCTGCAATTGTAATATGCGCTGTCAAATATCATCAGCGTTGGATTGGGCCGAAGGGTTAAACTTGTTGATGATATTCGACAGCTGCATGACCTTGAACGAGTCCTGTGAACATTCCTGCACGTGCTGAAGCTGGCACAAGCAATGTGTTTTTCTGTAGATGTTTTTTCTGTGCCTTGCTGTTTATTCCACCATATAAGAGACAGAGTTTCATTCCAAGTCGCTGGACATCATCTTGGACCTGGATTGTGAACAGTGCCACGAACAACCTCAGCCTCCAGACCAGCCATTGATCGAGGGGTCCCCGACGGGCAGAAGGGCGTGAGGCTTAATGTTGTTTTTTTCCTCTCTTTTTAATACTTTTTATTTACTTGATAAATTTTCCTTTCTTTTTTCATTTATTGTTATTATTCAATAAATGTTCGTAGTGAAGCAAATTGCAGTCATTGAGCCTTCTCAACTACATTTAACCGAATCCGAAAAGAACCACTTGGATACAATCTGTGATCCAAAACAGTGATTCCCACCATCAAGTTACTGATTGATGTGCAGACTGGAGTCTGCGTTGGCCAAGCGGTTGTTGCTGCTCATTGCAAACCTATAGGACCTATCTGTGCATACACAGAGGTCCTTAAATGTGTTGCACTGGCTCTTTAACAGTGTTTGATAACTGCCAGGACTGAATCAGACTTTGAAAGTTATTGACCCACTGAATTAATCATCTAGATTGTAAATTTATTGACCTTTGAACGTGTCTTTTTGTAAGCTGAAAATAATGAATTCAGCTTTTCAGTAATGTGTCAGTTCTGTTTTTATCCAGTAAGAAGGCAGAATCATCATTGTTAATTTTCAAGACTATTTATTGCCCCATATACATACAAAACTAATTCACGTGAATGCTAAGAACAGAATATATATATAACATATTTACACGTGAAAAACAGTTAAAATTCAGCAATATACTGAGGGAGGCAATGGTGTAGTGGTATTATTGCTGAACTGTTAATCCAGCAGACCCAGATAATATCCTGGGGACCCGGGTTCAAACCCCACCTTGGCAGATGGTGGAATTGAATTTAATAAAATATGTGGAATTAAGAATCTAGTGATGACCATGGATCTAGTGCTGATTGTTGGGAAAACTCATCAGATTCACTAATGTCCTTTAGGGAAGCAAACTGCCATCCTTACCTGGTCTGGCCTACATGTGACTCCAGACCCACAGCAATGTGGTTGACTCTTAACAATTAGGGATGGGCAATAAATGCTGCCTAGCCAGCAACACCATTATCCTATGAATGAATAAAGTAAAAAAAAATTTCATATGATCAGAAATTTCAGTCTGCATATGAGCAATTCTAATGTCTTAAACGGTTCAAAATACATCAGTGATAAATGTCCATCTTTCTTGTCTCTCACATCCTTCCCACTCTCCTGTTTCCTTGCCTCTTGGTCGGGAATGAGCCGGGGAGTGGTTGTTGTGACTTCATGACTCTATCGCTATATCACTTGAACTTACATTTAGGCAGATCTTGACCGACTGATTTTGTGCCCTATGTTTTAATTTAATACAACCGAAAAGGTCTCTTTACCTTAACTGAGAATAATGTAAATTCGAGTGAAGATTATCAGTAATGTATCACTTTTGTTTTGATCAAGTAAGAAGGCAAAACCGGGATTGTTAACTTTCAAAGTATTTATTGATCCAATAGACATACTTATATAAATAATCCACATGAATGCTCAAAATACCCTAGTACAGGTTTCCAATTAATTCAACAAAACTTTTATTATCATCACACATTGACAGAAATTCACTGCTGCTTTTCAACAAATCTTATATCTTCAAACGTTCATTTAAACAAAGTCTTAGCTGTCCATATGTTCTCCAGCTTTCTTGTTCCCCACATCCTTCCCGCTCTCCTGTACCTTTGCCTCTTGGTCAGGAATGAGCCGGGGAGTGGTTGTTGTGTCTGAGGTGATGTTGATGGGGACGGTCCGTTCATTCACAGCTGGCAATGCCAGGCTTGGGGCTTGAACCTTTAACCGACCATCCTGTGACAAACAGCATCGAAGAGCTTCAGCATCAACATCCTCTGGCAGCTGGAATTCTCTCCTGAACTCTTCATATTTGTAGCTGTAAGAGCCACTGCCATCATCACATTTCTTCTCGTGTTTTCCAGACACCAGAACTTTTCTTCCAAATACTTTCACCCTCAGTTCTTCTGGGGAGAAGTGCTGCACATTCAGGGACACAGAAAACCCATCTCCATCCTTCTTTTCGGAATGTCCTTTACCTTCTCCGTTACTATCAGATTTGTTATCCTGAGTTCCTGGTATTCTCTCAAAAAATTCTGCTGTCAGCTCCTCAAGGACTCGATTCATGAAGTTCATGCTCTTTCTCGCTTCTTCCACCTGTTTCC